TAAGATCTACAAGCGCTTTGTTCAGAGACGCCGCGATCAACATCACACCCTGGAGAAGGTAGTGACCCACAGCGGAGCGTAAGCGAAGCAGTTCCAACAAAGTGAAACAAGAAAAGACAATAAAAACAATGAAAGGCGAATAAATTGCATTCAAAATTACAAACAAAAAGTGAATCGCCAAAACAATTACAAACAATTTCCGAGCGCGTGCATTTCTGAATGCAAGTGTAACAGAACCCGCAAATACATACGTTGAACAAGAAATTGGAGCTGCACCGACCAGCCCCAGCCCGAGCATTGGAACTGACGTGTGCCGCGGTGGAACTCCCATACGATGCATACATACATACATATCTATACAGCAATAGTGTTATTATACCCGTTACTCGTAGAGTAAAAGGGTATACTAGATTCGTCGGAAAGTATGTAACAGGCAGAAGGAAGCGTTTCCGACCCCACAAAGTATATATATTCTTGATCAGGATCACTAGCCGAGTCGATCTAGCCATGTCCGTCTGTCCGTCTGTCCGTCTGTCTGTCCGTCCGGATGAACGCTGAGATCTCGGAAACTATGGGAGCTTGGCTATTGAGATTTGGCGTGCAGATTCCTGAGCTTCTTACGCAGCGCAAGTTTGTTTCAGCACAGTGCCACGCCCACTCTAACGCCAACAAACCGCCCAAAACTGTGGCTGTTGATGCTAGAATAAAAATTTTAACTGAAATGTATTGTTCTCATCAATACCTATCGATTGACCCAAAAAAAAGTTTGCCACGCCCACTTTAACGCCCACAAACCGCGAAAACCTGTGACGCCCACACTTTTCATGCTAGATAAAAAATTTTAACTGAAATGTATTGGTCTCGTTGATACCTATCGATTGATCCAAAAAAAAATTTGCCACGCCCACTCTAACGCCCATAACGCTTAAATCTGTACACCGCCGGTAGGTGGCGCATTTTAATATCGCTTTTCTGCTTGCATATCTCCATATAGATGAGTAACGGGTATCTGATAGCCGAGGTACTCGACTATAGCGTTCTTCCTTGTTTTTGTGTTATGTTTTTGTGAACCGCCATCCAATATTGCACGTAACATATATATATAAACCAATTGTAACGTCTCCTAAGGCCCAGCATCCGGAGCGTCGATATCTCATCGCCAAGGGTTAAAAGGAGGGTCAGTTTGTCGGAACGAGGTTCCCATTTATTATGAATATATATATATATAAATATCCGTGCACCATGATCACTACAGAAGCATTAGCAAAGACGGTAGACAATGATCTACAGTTCAACTTAAGAATTCTATATTTGTTATCAAAACCAATCCTACCGATAACTGTAGATGAATTAGAGGCCTTCCGTCTACATTTCTCACCACTGTAACTACACTGTAACAAGACCGAAAAGGCAATTATCATTTCTACCGTTCCAACAGTCATTGTTCTCTCTCGTCTAGATAAAAATGTATTTTCCTAGTTAAGATCAAAAATCAATCTTTAAGTAATAACTATTCATATATATTCGTTTAGATATACATCGTTTTTTTCATACATTTTACATTTTATATATTTATAATAATTAAATGTTAATTTTTCAGCGGCGAGTATCAGCTTTGTAATTGTATGACAATTGCAAGAGCCCTCTGAGCGACGTTTGTAGTCATGAATATTCAGCGTTTTGCTGATGTGTGCACCTTCCCAGGTGATAAATTTGATACTCTCCGCTAATAAAATAATTTTCAATTAATTAATTTCCATATGCATTGGCCAACATTATGTTACTCATCCACGGCGCACGCCGATATATATGTTTCTCAATAAATTTATAATGTAAAAAGATATCAAAACCTTGAAGTGCTAAAACTTTATCAAGCGGGGTGTGCTGACGCGAGAAGTGGAGTAGGTAAAAAACAATGACCTCGCAGCCCGCTACGATCCATTGGCTCACGCATGTGTAAAGGGGAGGGAATATGGCCAAAACACAGTCCGTATTGCGATCAAGCGACAGCTAAGCTTGTGGGGCAGTGTAGACTGAGGACTGACGATCTTTATGGACTAATATTATTTTCCAGGTACTTTAAATGTTTGTTCTCGTTATGTTGGAGAGGAGAAAGGCTTACCAAGATCCCACGAACCAAATACGACGTAGCTTATGCCGGCAAATGGTGCCTGAACATCGGACGCCTCTCCCTCGGCACAAGTCCCTGTCAGGACTCGGGCACTAATATGCCCACGTAACAGGATTGGCGCCCAACGATAGGACTTTTCATATTCCTTAAGGAAGTTTACCAGGGTCCACAATCTCGGTACCTGCGGTATCGGAGTGGATATACCTAGGGATGGCAAAGCTTTCATCTTTATTTGCCATGAGTAATTTGACTGTTTTATAAAGCAGGGAACTAAAATAATTTTAAATATGCGCCTACTTATTTGTTTTTGTCTTTAAATTAGTAACTGTAAAGTCCCCAACTTCTGTGACTATCAGCAATAGCGATGCGGGTCTACTGTTCGTTTGTCGATCCAAGACAGAATGGGAGGTGGGGGAACTGACAGGAAACGCAAAGCCGACGCCCCACGACGTACTAGGCATTTTTCGGGTCGTTTGATTGGTTCGACTCTTTGCTGTTTCCCTTGACATATTTGGGCGGTGGACAATTTTTAGTTTCTCTGGCCGACGCCCCACAGTTAGTCAAACAACCCAGTTGTGTAGAAGCGGCTAACACCCCTAGTTAGGGATATTTGTTTTGTTTTATTTATCAGACGGTTCTTGACCGTAGAGAAACTTGAGACTTGTCGACTTATTCAGTGTTTACGTCGCTGACCGGGTGTTTTTAAAGGAATCACGTGATCCTGTTATACCAAACGAAAAAGAAGTGAAGACAATCTTTAGTGTGTGTATTAATCAGCACAAAGTGACAATTTATAATAGAAAGCGGAGGACTTTAAAGAACGCCCAATCATATAAATGAAGGGGGCCAAGTAGAAGGTCTTATTCGAACCCAGCACCGGAAAAGTGACCCGAGCAACAACCCGCGGTGAAAATCACCAACCCCGGAGTGGGAGCTCGCCAAGGTTAGGAGATTCACCAGAAAAAGAGCCGTGGGTGCTTGCAAAGAATCAGCCAGGACAGATAGAAGCCCTGTCTGTAGAAAACAATCTGGACCTATCCACTGAAATGGAAGGAGCCGCCGGTGGGGAGAATCTACCCCTAGGACCGCCGAAAGGGAGATCCAGCTTGCTTCCCCAATTTCAGAGGCATGAGGAGGATAACTTAAAGGCTGCCGAGCGGCGTGAACAAAGATTGATGGAGCTTTTGAGGCAGAGCAACGAAACGCAGAGTGGTATGAGCGCCCAGGTAGAAGCGCTGAAAGCACAAATTACCGAATTGCAGTCTCCGACATCCAGGAGACCCGAGCAGAAGAGACTGCCTTTGCCGCCCCGAACTGTTCCGAATCCCACGGATAGTTTCTTGAGATATCAAGAGACTCCGCCTCTGGAACCGGTCACGCAGGACATCCTCAATAGCCAGAAGCACCGGTAAAGAACACCCAGGCAGATAAGTACTGATACATAGATAGATGAATTCGTCGACCTCTTGAAGGACAATATGAACTCCCAGATGGGGGGATGCTGTTAACATACACAATAACCTCATTAGCGGAGCTCAAAATAGAGGGTCTCCGAGTTGATCGCTGGTTGAGAAACACTGGAAGAAACATGCGCAGCCGAGCGGCGGTCAACGAAATAAAGGAATTCCAGACCCTGGAGAACTTTCCGGACGCGGTGGAAGAATTTAACCGGCAGCGGAAAGATACCCGAGGGCGTGATGAGGATGGACAAGGATGCCGAGGCCCATTACACGCGCTGGTGTGTTATAAGTGTGGCAAAGGAGCAGACTTCAACAGGAAGCATCCTGCGAAGGAAGAATCCTGCCTGATCAAATTCCACGGTGCCACTTGCAGGTTCTGGGAGAAAGTCGGGACGGATGCAGATGCTAACCCAGCGGCTTTTTCTCGGAGTCCGTCAGGCAAGATCGGGATAGCCGGGCGGACCTGGACCAATTCTTTCCGGTAAAAACACCGAAGCCCAAACAAATCTGCCCTCATAAGAGCCTAGAACAAGGAGAGAGGGAGTACGAACTCACTCGCGAACATATCTTCATCGGCTCGGAAGATGCAGATAACGAGACACGAACAACACGGAAGAAACTAAAATTATATGATGCCCGAGCAGAGTATCTCCGGCTCAAGCAGAAGGTGGTGGACACGGGGGTGAGCATGCAAAACGACAACCGTTTCTTTGCCAAAACGAAGGTCGATCGAGAAGAAATATTCGCATTACTGGCAGAGGAGCGAATGCTTTATTAAAAAACCGGACGCGGCCGCTAAGGAAGCTAAGTGAAGAATGTGTACGCACAGCCAGCGTGGCTAGACCCAAGTAACCGGAGCCATAACGTTACCCGTAGAATGGGAAGGACAAACCAAGAACCTAGAGTTTCTGATAGTGCCAGGTCTGACACAACGATTTGGTTTAATTTAATTAATTTCTGGGATACGTTTGGCCTCACAATCCTCGGTGGACGCGAGGTTGCCGCCGTTGAAACAACACCGGAGGTAGACCTTACGACCTAGAGACCTAGACATGAACAATACGCTCAAGCCCGAGACCGCCTATATCCCACATCAGCTTACTCCAGAACAACATTCTAGGCTGCAGCAAGTGATAGACACATATCCCTCCTGTCTAGAAAAAGGATTAGGAAAGACCAGCTTATAGGGTCTTCCCACAGAGATCCATCCACCATCTACCATCCGTTGAACGGATGGTCCATAAGGTTTTGCCGTTCCGAAAATTTCCCAGTTAGTTCCCCATCCAAATTTAATAGGGTCTTCCCACAGAGATCCATCCACCATCTACCATCCGTTGAACGGATGGTCCATAAGGCTTTGCCGTTCTGAAAATTTCCCAGTTAGTTCCCCATCCAAACTTAACGGACTACTTTATGCGATAGTTAGGCGATAATTTTGGGTGGAAACCCTAAACTCTTCTTCTTGAAAGTGGAAAGTGGAACATTCACTACGAAAACGTAAACAATGATGACGGGAAACTTTTGAAAATGGAAGGCGACAAAGCAATAGGTATGAACATAAATGCTCTTTATATTTGTAATAATTCATTGCTTTTAATTTTACAGTCAATAATACGCGAACTGCCGGTGGCAAACTGAGGTGGACTAAGCAGATGGAGGTCCTGCTCATCGACATTTGGCAGGAGAACATCGAGGAGTTGCGCGGAGCCAGAAAAAATGTCCATATATACATGGAGATGGCCCAGACGCTAATGGAAGCTGGGTTTGATGTGTCCTACAAGGACGTCCGAACGAAAATAGAGAACCTGACCAAAAAGTACAGGTAACTTATATGCGCGCAACAACATATTGGAAATCCACTCAACTATACTTTTCCTTGCAGGCAGGAAAAAAATAAAATGGGGCCAAGCGGTGGCGCTCCTTCCTCGTGGCAGCATTATGAGTTGATCCACTCGTTTTTAGGCGCATACCGCTTCCACAACATGGAGCAGAACACCTTGGAGAACGAGAGTATGTCCCCGCACTTATATTTTTGGTTTAAAATTATTTAAAAAAATTTATTTATTGCAGGTACTAGGGAATACTTTGATGAGCTCTTGGATGTCGGCCCAGATGACAGGGAAGCCTCTACCTGCAGCGGCAGTCAACGCTCAGGCAGCACTGCGCCCCCTGCTAAGCGCGCAGGAGATAGCTCGAGAAAGACTGGAGGAGCAGAGGGCGCAGACAGAAATATTGTCGAGAATGGCAGACAGCCAGGCAAAATTCCAATCTGATTTGTTGGAGCTGTTAAGAAAATCAACGAATTCTTAATAAATTTATAATTTATAATAAATAGACCAAAATGAAATGTGATATTATAATTAAATAAAAAAACAAACAGATTTATATTTTTTGAACTTTATTTGTTACCATTTAGACAATATTGGGAAATAGCTGCTCTTATTTTTTCTGCAGGTTGGCTAAAATCTGCAGGCATATTACTCCGATTTTATTGTTCGCCTAGGTCATTTGCAGCCTGTTGCCAAGTTTCATTTATAGCGCTGTTGTGCTCATTTGAAATGTTGTGCAAAATGCAGCAGGCTAGAATAACTGCATTATTATTCTTGTAGTGGCTGTCAAGACCTTTCCCAATAAACCGAAATCTTGCCTTTAAATGGCCAAATGCATTTTCTACCACTCGCCTAGCTTTAGACAGATTGTAGATAAAATTTCGCTGTTCTTCGGATGCAGTTGTGGAAAATGGGTACGGCTTCATCAGCGTTTGGGAAAATCTAAAGGCAGAGTCCCAAATAAGCAGCACCGGAACTTGGACGCCACAAATTTCCCTTGTTTTTTCGTGAAGTAACGAAGAAGGCACCATTTTCCTTGCCAGGCTCGACTTTTGATATATAGTGGAGTCGTTGCAGCGCCCAGCAGAGCCGATGTTTACATAGGTAAATCTGTATCTGTAGTAAATTTAAAATATAATGCGTTTAAAACATTGTTGAGCTCTTAGAAGAACGCAGTTTACCTGTAATCCACGAGAGCGAATAATACTATTGAGTACCAGCCTTTGTAGTTGTGGTGATCGACTGCCTCTGCTGCTGACGGTTTTATTTCGATGTGACAACCATCTACACATTATACATTGCTAAGACCATGAACTGATTTAATGAATTTATGTCTTACCAATTGCACCTAGACACTGGGGAAATCCGATTGCTTCGAATCCTTTGACACACTCGTCCACTTTTTCTGGAGTAAGATAGTCCGGTGACATGAACTCGCTGGCAAACTCAAAAATGAGTGCCCGGCAAAATTCGTGGCGAATTTTGCACACAGTGTTCTGTGCAACTCCAAAAAGCCTTCCGATGGAACGATATTCCGCTGATGATCCCAAGGTGTACAAGGCTATAGCGATCCGCTTTTCAAGAGCAATGGCATTTCGCGAGTTGGTGTCCTTCTTCCGCAAAACACCAAGTCGGTCCACCAAAAACGAAAAGGTCCTCTTCTCCATACGAAAGCTCTCTTTGAAGAACTCGTCGTTGTTTTCCGGTATATCCTTCTCCCAAAATGTCCCGTATCGCTTCTGTTTAATATAATTCGCACTCTTTAATCGTATTTTTAATACATTTTAAGAGCACGTACCAGCATCCACACACTTCGTGGCATTTGCTCTTTTGCAGAAAAAATGCTTTCGTACAGATCCAATTCGTCGTCATTCCACTCCTCTGAATTGGCTGCCAATAAAAGCTGATTCAACTTAAGATAAATTAATTGGTAAATTGTTCATTTTGGTCTGGCAAAATTCACTTTAACAATTTTTGCATGTGTTTTTATTAGTCACAGCTGAACTGACAGCTGTTGTCGGATGGTAGATGGTGGATGAGCCCTGTGGTAATCGGGGCTTACATTTGTCAAAAATCCCAACCGTTTCTAACGAATGGACTGTATGGGAAGGGGGTATTAGAGCCACATTTAATTGAAGTGACCAACTACAGAAGCTGGTGTATGCCGAGATAGATCGCATGTTAGGCCTAGGCGTGATCGAAGAGAGCAATAGTAGCTGGAGTTCACTGGTAACTCTGGTGCAAAAATAGACGAAAAATCGCCTTTGCCTCGATGCGCGTAAAGTCAATTCCCGGACGATCAAAGATGCTTATCCACTACCGCATATTGAGTGTCTGTTGAGTCGAATACAGGAAACGTATCGAATTAAAAGACGCCTTTTAACTAATACCTCTCGAGTCCAAGAGTAGAGAGAATCCCGCGTTTACAGTGCCCGGCAGGCCACTGTATCAGTTTACAGTAATGCCGTTCGGCTTGTGCAATGCCGCGCAGCGAATGTGCCGAAAATGTATTTGTGTATGTCTTACTGGTCTGTTCACCTACATTTAAAGCTCACATTGATAAGTTGAGCCAGGTCAGAGCCTGCTTACAGCTGCTTACAATAAATGTAGACAAAAGAAAGTTTTGCTACTGCCATGCAAGATATTTAGGATACGTAGTTGGGGGAGGATGCATCTGAACGGACTATGCAAAAATGTAATCGATACAATACAATCGATAAGCCAAACAGATGCGGAGGTTCCTGGGGATGACTGGCTGGTACAGGAGGTTCATCCAAAACTACGCACAGACAGCGGCACCGATTCACGATTGTTTGAAGAAAGACCGCATAAAGAAATTTGAATTGTCAGAATTGTCAAGGCGTTTGAACTTTTAAAAACCAGCCTGGCCACAGCACCTGTACTCGTCACCCCAGATTTTAAAAAACCATTTACCATCCAATGTGATGCCTCGACCACTGTAGTGGGGCGAGTTTTGTTCCAAACTGATGACGATGACTATGCACAGCGGAATCAAAGTGATCACTGACCACGCTAGTCTAAAATGGCTAATGGGTCATAAAGACTTATCAGGCAGGCTTGGGCGATGGAGTCTGAAGCTAAAAGCGTTTGACTTCACCATAGAACACAGGAAAGGGTCACTAAATGTAGTCCCAGATGCTCTCTCACCAGTTCATATGGACGAGCTACATAAGGCTGGTGCGGAAGAGCTGGACATACACATCAACCTCGATTCGACAGCGTTCCAGTCATCGGATTATGTCACCCTAGTGCAGGCGGTGGACGAAAATTTAGGTTAAAGTCCAGACCTTCAAACATTAGAAGGCTATGTATATAAACGGATGGGATTCTGCCTAAACGACGCCGTGGATGAAACTCAAGCATGGAAGCTCTGGGTTTCCGCTGAGCTGCGACCCGATTTAGTCTGGAGAGCACATCATGCCATAACCGCAGGGCATGGTGGGTCGCAAATGCATGGGGGGCTGTAGATGTCCAAAAAGTAGTGAAGGAATGCGAGATCTGTAAGATCACCAAGACCGCCAACAAAAATGACCGACCACCCATGGGATAACAGCGGGTTACGGAGCGGGCTGCCCAAAGGTTGTTCATCGACTTTATGGGTCCATAGCCGAGGACCAAAGTTGGGAATTCGTTGATTTTTGTATGCCTAGACCATTTCTCCAAGTTTGTCTGGCTGCAGCTGATAAGACATGCAGTAGCTGCAGAAGTCATCAAATTCCTGGAGACCAAAATTTACCATCAATATGGTTTCCCCGAGTTCATGCACTCGGACAACGGCAAGCAGTTTGTGTCCCAAATTTTTGGCGAGCTAATGACCCGCTACGGTATTCGACACGTAGAGACTGGACTTTACTTCCCGCAAGCGAACGCGGCTGAGAGGATAAACCGATCGGTACTCCAAATTCTGCGAGCGACAATTGCCACCGATCAGCGAAATTGGGATACCCAACAAAGTCGAATAGAGTGTGCCCTTAGGAATGGCCTACACGAGTCGATAGGCATGGAACCATATTACGCAGTGTTCGGAACGCGAATGGTTGCCCATAGAACAGCCTATCCGATTCTTCGAAAGCTGGGGGAAATACAGGCATGAGATCCACAGATAAGTCTCCCAGACAAGATGGAACTCATCCGACAAAAGGTGACCCAAGGATTGAACCGAACTCATGAACGCTCTAAAAAAGGCATATAACACCCGTAGCAAGCTCGTAAAGTTTTCCGTAGGACAAGTTGTCTATAGGAAAAACTACAAGTAGAGTAACAAAGCTGACGGATATAATGCCGAGCTTGGCCCGAATAGAATTCGCTGTGTTCTTCTCCAGCGTAAGGGCAAAGCGCTATATGATCTGGGCAATACAGTAGGAAAAAGTGTCGGAGTATTTCATGCTAAGGACCTGTATTTCGCCTAAACCTCTGAACGTAATCCTACGACTCCAGAAGGCGACAAACTTAGAACTGTGGGATTGCACGAGTTGATAGAAGGTCCCGATCACCTGATGAGGTGAACACGTAATCAGAACTACCCCGATTCCGCTATAAAAGCCACAGCCGGGGACAGAAAATTAACCAGACATAATGAACACCTTTACCACTTACGAACAAGCAATCAAAGCTGCTCGCCAGCTTAGGAGGCTCCCGAAGGCGTATGAGAGCAGGACCTCTTATCTAACGTTCCTCACGGAATGGATGAGTGGGCTCTGCCACAGCATTAACAGTGATGAGGAGTGTATCCAGCAGCGCTGGATACAACTCCATTCGATGCCACAAACCGATCTGCAAGAACGAGAAACACTGGAGCAAGAGATCAGACGAAGGACCCAGAATCAGAAGGATGACAGAAGTCAGTTGCTCCAAGTCCAGCAGCAGCTTATTAGGACTCAAAGGCAAATATTCAAAATACAAGAGAATCAACAAAAGGTGGGGCAGCACATAAACCCTTCACCAGAAAGTTGGCAAGGAGAAGCCCACGCCTGGGAGTCCTAGCGCGGGAAGACATAATACTTGTATTAAGAAAACCTTGAGTTAAGAACTATGTCTAGTACTTAAATAAATATATAATAAATAAGTAAAAACAAAAAAAAAAATAAAAAAGAAACAAAACAGAACAAACAAAATTCTTATTCTTTTAATTTTTTTTCTTCGGAAAAGGGGAAAACTTTTCACTTTTCAGCCCGGTCAAGAACCATGGTTATGGAACACTCAGCAATTTTATTCTCAACTTTTAAACTCACTTCTGCATTTTTTTTATATACTATTTTTCATTTGCGCTATATTATATATTTTATTATGAGCCATATCTTTTGTTTACAGGTATAAATATGTATGTATGTAGTTTTCTGTGCGAGGCCGGAAAGCTTTTTCGTTGTCAGCAGTAAATATCTTTAATAAAAAATAATAGTAATAGCACAATAAATAAGTACAATAATTAAATAATAAAGTAATAAGCCCGACTAGCTCATCTG